GCGTTGTCCATAACAAGAAGTCTTATCTGTGCAAAAAGTGGTGTCACTTTTGGTAATTTATCAGAAATTACGATAATATCATCTTTTCTATATTGAATTTCATGCACGTAGACTATTTCCAGTTCATAAACAGGCACAACATTTGGATCGATTAATTTGACCATAGATAACATTTGAATATGAATATTCACGGTTGCCTGAACTGCCGAAGGTGAACAGAAAACTGTATTGTTAAAAGAACCGTCCGCATTTTGATCACTAACAATAATACTCAGTTTCAGTAAAAAAAGTTTAAATCCCTTCACACGCGTTAGAAATGGTGAAATGCATGCAAAGACATTCGTCATTACATTTCATCTCTTCACATTCATTAAATCATTATGCTTTCCTTAGTTAAAGACTCACAAGAGTCATGGTCTATAGCTTATAGGGCTAAAACTGAATAAAAACGAGCATGAAACAATGTTGCTTCATTAGATAATAAAAAAGGTTTTTTTTGTAGTATTTCCTTTTATTTTTAACAGAAAAGTAAGATACACATAATGCAAACTTCAAGTGAAATTTGTTTTTGGCATTATTATACATATTCAGATTCAGCTTAACGAGCTGATTACGAATAACACCTTCCGAATTTTTTGAGTGAAGGGCTATATTGATGATTCACACACCATCAGATTGGCCAACACGCCAGCTTTAAAAGTACATAGAGCTTTTTTCAAAATTTGTTTTCCTTGCTGAGAAAAACGGCTTCTACTGAACACCTCAGAGAAACAGCAAGGAGATCTTTGTAAAACCAGGCTGTGTGTAAAAATTTTCGATACGATTGTATTGATTTTCTTCCATGCTATGATAGCCCAGGGTATCTTCTTCAAAATGAGAGTCTAAAAGTCTACCGAAAAGTGAGTTTTACGAAATTCGGGTTTTCAAGCTCGTTTCACCTATTAAAAAGTTCACTTTTCACTCAATAAACATCAGAATGAGTTTAGACCTTCAGAATATGACCGATTTTCTCCGCTGAACGTGATTATAAGGTCGAAAACATCGAAAAAGCATATTTGCGTTAATGGGTTTTCCAGAAACCCTTTTGGGAAATCTTAGGGTTTTGTAAGCTTTTTTTAAGATCTCCTATAAATAAGATATAGAATAGATTAAATACTCTATATTCTGAAGGTCTGAACTCTTTCTGATGTTTATTGAGTGAAAAGTGAACTTTTTAATAGGTGAACGAGCTAGAAAACCCAAATTTCGTAAAACTCACTTTTCGGTAGACTTTTAGAACTTTTCCAAAAACAAATATTGCCACAAGACTCAGCATGATCGATTACCTATAGTCCATCCGTTTTCAAGGCTACCAATAGTCACCAGGTGCCAGTTCTAGAATTCGCAAGAAATCGGCCACAGCATCCGAACCGTGAAAAATCAAGGTCTTGCTTGACTCTCATTTTGAAGAAGATACCCTGGGCTATCATAGCATGGAAGAAAATCAATACAATCGTATCGAAAATTTTTACACACGACCTGGTTTTACAAAGATCTCCTTGCTGTTTCTCTGAGGTGTTCAGTAGAAGCCGTTTTTCTCAGCAAGGAAAACGAATTTTGGAAAAAGCTCTATGTACTTTTAAAGCTGGCGTGTTGGCCAATCTGATGATGTACCTCTGAAATGAATTGAAAACCTTTTCTAAATCAGTTTTCAATGCTGATTCAGAAAAAATATAGTTCGACCCTTCCATCTTACAATACAAGCTCAAAAAGTCAATTTCATCATAGAGGACGGTTTTGGGTATTTTTGAGGTCCTCGCAGTAATTTAGGTTTTTCTCCATGAAGAAGTGGCTTTTGAAGGCTCGGAAGGTGTTATTCGTAGTCAGTTCGTTAAGCTGAATCTGAATACGTATAATAATGCCAAAAACAAATTTCACTTGAAGTTTGCATTACGTGCATCTTATATATTTTATAAATAGGGTAAACGTACTTTTGATCACCAGTTGATACCCTCACCAAAAGTTGATACCCTTATGAATACGACAAAGAATTTTAAAAACAGAGAAGGAAGAATGTATACGAGAATTTAAACGCGTTTCGGATTATGTTTATCACTAAATGTTCGTGAAATGGTAAGTGCTATTGGAACTTACGCCTCTTATATACATTTTCTGAACAAGCACAGTAGAAAGAGACAGACGAGTAGAAAAAAGAAACGCAGATGCTTTTAAAGACCACGCTGAGTCTCTTGGGAAGGTTTATTTCTCGAAAAAGCTTCAATTGCCAAATGAAAATCTATATTAGGTGAAATAGCCCATTTTTGCCCGTTTTCGACTAAAATTCAAAAATTCAAAATTCAATCAGAGCTTCAAAGATGTGGGTGTGACAGAGATCCAAACTATGTGACAATACCAAGGTGTACTTTATTTTATCTGCTCAATCTGATTCTATGCTTAAGGTTAGTAAAAAATATTCTTTTACTGCGAAGGATTTCTAGCGACCTTTTCCAAAAGCGAAAGTATTCTCAGTTGATTTTGGAAGTTCTATTGAAGTCGATGATATAGTGCAGATAAAATATAACATAGATTTTCAGTAGGTTTTTGAATTGTTTTCGAAAGCAACTACATAGAGTGTGCAGTGATCTTCAAAAGGTGAAAGTCGGTCACCAACTTCAAAACAACAGCACCCAGGTCGAACAATACGGTCCATATACGGACGGTCTACTGGACACAGGAATACGGACCGTAACATCATTAAAATAGGGCCGTATAAGGCCGTATTTTCACAATATGCGGTCCGTAAACGGTACCGCTTCTGGGCACAGTAATACGGGGTCGTATACTGTGATAATACGGCCCTATTTTAATGATGTTACGGTCCGTATTCCTGCGTCCAGTAGACGGTCCGTAACGGATATCCGTTTTGCTCGATCTGGGCAAATCATTGTCATCGGCCATAACAACAGGAGTAGGTAAACGAAATACATCTCGACCACAGACACAATCATAAAGAAAACATGGCTCATGGATCTTCGAGAAAACCCGATGCCGCCCATAAAGCACGAAAGATGAAGAGATCGCTTAGTTCCTGTTTTGCAGAGGATACTTTGGGCTATCCGTCCATGTAAAAGAGCTAATATATTTCTCTGCTAAATTTTCGCATTGTGAAGTGGCTTTCCAGAGATCTCTGCCCCTCTTTCGATTGCTGAATACCGCAAGTCTCTTTCTTCTACCGTCTATGACTTATTCAAAAAACAACTATCAGTCTTATATTTTGGGATGGATAATAGCTATGTGTTTTGCTTTGCTTAGAACTTATATTAAATTCGACATAAGTTACATACTCTACAAGTACAACAATGGAATCAAAACCACCAAACACCATATCCATCTCACAAACAATAACAGACCGTGTGCAAACTTCAATTTATCGGACAAAGATTATTGAGCAACAAAACTTAGAAAACTTTCAAATCGTTTGGCTTGATGCTAATATCAATGAAATAGATGATAATTTATAAACCATAGCTCTACTACNACTTTTTTTTGGAAAATCGTCTCTGCTTATGACAATATAGACTAAACCGCCCCACCCAACACCATATCCAGCTCACAAGCAATACCAGTGCAACTTCAATCGTGTGCAAACTTCAATTTATCGGACAAAGATTATTGAGCAACAAAACTTAGAAAACTTTCAAATCGTTTGGCTTGATGCTAATATCAATGAAATAGATGATAATTTATAAACCATAGCTCTACTACGTGCTACAATTAATTATCTAAATATATTTGATAATGTTTGTGGTGACTGTTATGACTACATAGCCAAGGTTCAAAATGAAAAAGTATTTTTAATCGTATCGGGTTCAATTAGTCAATATATAATACCACATGCTCATCAAATGCCACAAATTCAATTTATTTATGTATACTATTTTGACATCGAAAAACAACAACAATGAGCAATGGATTATGAAATAGTGCGTGGTACATATACTAACATGAATGATATTTGTGAGAAATTAAGTAAAGATATAGTTACAAGTTCACATCAATTATTATGCATGAATATTATTCCTACAAACATAAAAGAAAAAGAAATAAATAAACAAGAAACTTCATTTATGTACTTTCAATTGTTAACTGAAATATTAACTGGAATGGATCATAAAGATGATGCAAAAACAGATATGATTAATCAATGTCGATTACAATATATTGATAATGAAATAGTGTTAAATCATATCCATGAATTTGATAAGACTTCTAGTCCAAATAAAGCCATATGGTGGTACACAAGGCATTGCTTTTTATATGAAATATTGAATAAAGCACTTCGAATTCAAGACATCGATATGCTATTTAAATATCTTTTCTTCTTAACTGATCTTCATAATCAAATACAACAATTACATTCAGAGGTTGTTCAATCATTACTAACCAAAAATAATGACAATGAACAAAGAAAACTGACTGTGTATCGTGGCCAAGGTTTAAATATACATGAGTTCGAAAACATACCGAATAATCTAGGAGGACTCGTATCATTCAACAGCTTCCTATCAACAAGTACCAATCAAAACGTAGCACACATGTTCCTTTCCAATAGATCAGACCTACAATCTGTTCTTTTTGAAATAAACGCTGACCATCACCCCGACACAAAACCATTTTGTCACATAAAGGAAATCCGCCAGTTTAATCAAGAAGAAGAGGTCCTTTTCACTATCGGAAGTGTATTTCGAATTGACTCTATTTCTAACTGTAGCAACCGAGTTTTGAAGGTAAGTTTGACACTGGCTAGAGAAGAAGATGAACAGTTGAAACAATTAAGAGAACACTTTCGAGCGAAACTAGGCGAAATGTCCATCCTACATGTTCTCAGTACCCTCATGACAGGCACATGGCAAATATGATCACGCTCAACAATATTTCATAACACTAATTGAAAGCGATCAACTGACCCATCCTGATCTTCCAAACCCTCATCATACTATTCCATTAGTTTACGATAAAAACGCCGAATCCGATAAACCACTAGAAAATTCCGAACA